GGTGTCGCGCGCCGAGCAGGTAGGAGCCTCGCAGCGGAGGGATCAGCGCCTCCCTCGCGGCGTGCGTCAGCCAAAGCCCGCTCTTGAGTACGATGCCACGGCGCTGGAAGATGGTCCGAGCTATATCAGGGCAGCGCAGGAGCGGGGGCGGCGCCTGAACGGGGAAGGACGCACGCGAGAAGCCCTGTGAGAGGACAGAGGAGCTTGCCAGCGCTCGTGACAGATTGGGACGAGCCGAGCGACATGTTGACGGAGTGAGCAGGAGGGAGGAAGGGGAGGGAGGGAGGTGCACCGGCGCAGGTGCTCGATCCGCGGCTCCACTCCGGTGCCGTCCACCGCCACCGAGGCCATCAGAGGGGAGTAGGAGGTATCAATCTCGGGAAAGTACGGCAGCCGCGTGTCGAGAGGAGGCAGTGCCGCCGGCCGCTGGTGCGACTCGGCGACAGCAAAGTCCACGCAGAGAGGCAAGCCGGTGGCGTGGGCGAGCGGCTGGGCGGTCTGCAGTGTGCGCAGGTACGGCGATACGATGATCATGTCGATCCTTCCCACGCTGGCGAGGTGGGCGGCCACCTCGCGTGCCTGCGCGTGTCCGCCCGCCGAGAGCGGAGGATCGCTGGGCGCGAGCGAGGCGCTGGTGCGGCAGCGAGCGACCCAGGCGTCCTTGCCGATGGAGTAGTCGAAGCGGTCGCCGTGGCGGAGGAGGTAGATGGTGGTGGAGTCCGACATATACACAGGCTGCGGCGGATGCGCGGAAGCGAAAGCGCGAGGGCGGACTCGACGTCTATGTGCCTGCAGGAGCGAGGCGGCTCCCTGGTCGCTTTGACCGCTCCGATTGGCTTTTAGCGGGCAGCGGTGGGAGCGAGCAATAGCCGATTTGCGCCGCAGGCGCTCAGCGCCGCAGGCGTTGACAAGCACCCCCTCCCTCCCCCAAAAGCCGCAGGGGGTTCTGCTCAAAGCTCTACACACAAGTCTGGCACTGAAACACAGTCCCATGTGGACGAGAAGACCCACGCAGGCACGTGCAAGGAATGGCGTTGACACCCTGGAATGTGGTGCGCACCCAGACGACTCCCAGACACAGGAGGGCCACAGAACGGAACGTGATACGTTGGTGCGTAATAGATAGGGAGCGTGCCGCCTTCACGACACGTGCCGCAGGCAGCGCCGCTCGGAGGGCCGCCTGTAACGTACAGCTGAGACAGCTGCATGCTGCAAGTGAACGGAGGGCGGGCGGGCAGGCGGGTGGCGGCGGTAACGGGCGGCGGCAGTGGCGGCGGGGGCGGAGTGGCGGCGCCGCGAGCGTGCCAGCGACAGAGCCGGTGGAGCTGGAGAGGCGGAGAGGGAGCGGCGGTGGCAGCGGCGACGCAGGCAGGGCCGGTGGAGCTGGAGAGGCGGAGAGGGAGCGGCGGTGGTTGGTGACGGTGGGCAGGGGGGGGGGGGGGGGATCTGCGTGGTTGCGCGTGGCGGCGGAGTCTGCTGAGTCTGCAGCGGCGGCGGCGAGGCGGAGGGAGGCTGCGGCGACGGCGAGGCGGAGGGAGTCGGCGGCGGAGAGGGGGGTGGCGGGCTCGGCGGCGGCGGCGACGGTGGGTCGTGCCCGAAGTAGCGTCACGCGCCACGAGCCCGTAGACCGACGAGGACTCGCGCAGGAGGATATCTTGAGCTGCCGGTGCGTGCACTCGACGAGCCACGCGAGGTGAGATGCCGCGTGGGAGGGCGAGGTGCCCGCGAGCCCGCTGCTTCGAAGCCTCGGCTGGCGGTAGCGAGCTGCCCCTCACAGCGCGAGGCGGTGCCTTGGCGTCGCGCGTGGAGCGCTGGGGAGAGCACCATTAGAGATCGCACTTGCCACAGGTTTCCATTAGGTGTAGCGTCCGCCGGACACTACGAGCATTAGGGGTCTAATGGAAGCCGGACACAACGTAGTGTCCGGCGGACACTTCACCTAATGGCTCCACCTAATGACCACCGCTGCGAGGGGCGAGCCCTCCGATTTTAGAAACATCCTCCCGAGATTTTTTGCAATAGGAAGGGGCAACCAGTATGTGGTGTGATTTCGAGGAAAACTCGGTTTCGCGAGCTCGCGGCGCCCCGTTTTCGGGCTCCGGGGGCGCGGGGTGGGCACCGTAGGCGCCGGGCGTACGGGCGGGCCGGGCGGCGGTCTGGGCCGGCGGTGGGGCGCGGAAAACGCGTATGTGGTGCGGGGAAAAGTGCGCCGTTTTCTGCGCCGGATGCGGCGCACTTTGGCGCCGGTGCCGGCGCAGATCTGCGCCGGCGCCGGCGCAGATCTGCGCCGCCAAACGGCGCACTTTGCGCCGCCGGCGCACTCTGCGCCGCCGGCGCACTCTGCGCCGGCCGGCGCAGATGTGCGCCGCCGGCGCAGATTTGGGGCCCCACACGCTCAACCCAGACGCTCATGAGTCTCTCGCTGGCCGATCTGCAGCGCCTCTCTGCGCGGCAAAAAGCCATCCGACCAACCCAACCACGCGGGCACCCCTCCTGGAGCCCTCCGCCACCGCCGCCGCCGCCGTCGCCGCCGCCGCCGACGCCGCCGCCGACGCCGCAGCAGCCGCCGCCGCCGCAGCAGCCGCCGCCTCCCGCCCAAGGGGCGGAGAGGCCCGCGGGTGCCTCCACCGCGGCACCGCTGTCTAGTGAGGGGTGTACCACGACGCTAGCGTGTACGTCCCTGTGTCTCCGTGAGAGACGAGAGAGCTCGCCGTCCATCGTCCATGACGCATAAGGCATATATCGCATGTGCATGATCGCTCCATGGTGATCCACCAGCCAGTACGTATTTTGTCGTGCTATTTACGGTTTTGGGGTGTCACACTTTCACACGGTAGCCGTGCTACTGCTTGAGGGCCGCTGCCCCCCCCCCCCCCCCCAGGGGGGGTTGGTGCAGCGCTCTTGACGGTCGTCCTGCGTGTCGCCAGCAGTGCCGGTGCTATGGTCTTGCGGCCGAGTCGGAGGGTGAGTCGGGCAGGGGCGCGGCCGAGCGGCGGAAGGGACGCGCATGACGCAGCTCGCAGCGCCCGAGAGGGGGGCAGCGCTCAGGCACAAGAGAGACCGTCGCCGGGTATGCGCTCCGCGCCCATTTTGTACGCCCCCGAGGCACGCCTGGCCCGGGAGGGGGAGGGCGGAGGGGTGGTCAGAGGGACGCGGCGGGCCGGGGAGGGAGGGGACGCGCGCGCCTTCGAGTACGCACTCGCGGTGACGGCCGGCTCGCAGGGGCCGCCAGCGCCGCTACGGAGCGCTGCCCGCCGGGAAGGTGCTTGGGAAGGGCGCTGGCGGTGATGTCGGTGCGGCGGGGTCTAACTCGGCGGCGAGAGGAGATGCCAAAAGGCGACTGTAGAGAGGCCGGAACATGTAGTGCGCCACGACGGCGGGAGAGCTCCCTCCCGTTGCCCCGCGGGCCGCCCCGAAGGGCCGTGCAGCCCACGCCCTCAGGCGCCGCTGTCGTCGGCGAGTGTCCTCGTCATGCGAGTGTCCTCGTCGGCGGCGTTTCGGTCCGCGGAAAACAAGCAGAGGCGGCGGCGCCGACTCCAGTGACTGCGGTCCGAGCAATGTGCGCCACGTGGGCCGGGCTCAATCGTTGGCAGCGGCAGAGAGCGA